GTGAGCGGGGAGGTACACGCTCTTCACCCCAAGGACGCATGAACACTTTGCCTGCACTCCCGGCTTCCCAGCTCCTCACATCCCCGCAGTTTCCTGCCGCTGTAGATCATGTCTTAGACGCTTTGCACATTTTGAGTCCAAGTCAAAGTCAGCAGAGAGGTAGCCTTAGAGGACCCCCTACTAGCTCTTATTCCCGGTCTGAGGTGTGGCCTCGCCCCAGGGACTCGTGGGCGCTTGGCGGTGCTCATGACGACCGGACAGCCCTCCTCCTTGTCACGCTTCCGCGTGCAGCCCCTCCTTATCTCGCCCGCAGGCCCTTCTGTTAAGAAGAATAAGCAAGTTCAGTGGCCGCCCGTCCGCGCAAGGCTGAATGACCAGTGTGGTGGCCGGGAGAACGCACCGCTCAGCTCTGCTGTGGGAGCACAGGGGACCCACAGCCCAGCCACTGCCCTCGGGACCCGTCATGCTCACCTGAGGCCGTGCTCCCGTGGGCTGCCCTCCGTCAGCCTGAGCACGGCGATGGGCCCGCGGCAGGCCCACGCTGGTGGGATGGCTAGAGGCCTCACCATCAGCCCGGCCGACCCGGACCTGGAGCTGTGTTGCTGCCCAGAACTCCTCCTGCCCGAGCCACCCCCCCCAACACACACACATTTGCCACCTGCAGTGTGGCCTGAAGACGCTGTCTGACTTCTCTGGATGCCTCTCTCAATAAACCTCTTGGCCCTCTAATCCCATCCCGGCATTTGCTTCTCAGTGGACACAAATTAACATGACCAGAAACCAAGGAGATGTTTGGTTACAAATCCGAGCTGTGTTTGGGGGTGTAACTGGCGTGAGCTTGGAGGTTCATGTGTCTCCTTCCTCCTGACGTCCGCTAGCCTCTGGGCTGTTCCGGAAGCCCGGAGACCTGGGTGAGCTGATGAGGTCAAGCAGAGTGAAGTCTGGTTTCTTCTCACTGGGTTTTTCCCTCTATTTTCTAGGGCAGCTGTAGTCCCAGCAGGAGACATTAGCGCATAACTGCTTCCAGACTGGGAGTCTGGCTCTTCCAGAGTTTAGCCAAGGTGTGGTCCAGGTTTTATTAGCCAAGCCATGTTGCCACTGTTTGGCAACCTGACCTGCTAGGAGCTCCTGACAGTTGCAAAAAAACAAACAACAACAACAACAAAAACCCACCTTGTTTGAGAAACCTTGAAAAATGTAAGTCTGTGGTCATCGGCCCAGTAAAAAATATGCTGCTTGTTCAAGAAAGCAAAGTAAAATTCCATCTGTGTCCACAGCTGTGCAGGACGCTCCACACACAGACGAAGCATGAGCTTAAAGAACCATCAGCACAGGGGCAGCAGATAGTTGTGAAAAATCCCATTTCCATAAACCTATATTTTGCATTCAACGTGATTTTTAAAAAGCCTTTTAAATTTGGTGGATGTGTGTTTCTGTTTTATAATTCAGCGTGGCTTTTATTTTGTAATTATTTATGGAGAGGAACTTTATCATATTTTCCATAGGCAGGGCCACTAAAGGTCTCCATCCAGTCCACAGGCGTGGCCCCCAGACAACCACTTTCTGTGCACTGTCACCAAAGAGTGCCCATCAGTGATATGTTGGTAAACGTTTAGTAACAGGATCTCTGCGGTGAAAGGCAAAGGCCAGGTTTCTCTGGAAGTTCTGTAGATAATATGCTCTGCTTCCTAGTGTAAAACATCTAGGGTCATCACAGGAAAAGTTTCACAGTAACAGTGGAGAATAGAGGCAGACACAACGCTGTCTCCTCCTTGAAATTCTAATGTTGCTCGTCTGCCATGAGAAAGTTGTTTCATCATCGGCAGTTCGGCCAACCCAGTTTAGAGATTAGCTTCATGGTCAAGTCACCAGCCCAATAATGAGACTTCTTTTTGGAGCCATGAACTGCCCTGAGGATCTAATTAATACATGTTATCATCCTTCGCTACAGAAAATGGACCAGCACGTAAAAGTACGCCTACAATTTCCTGGAGGCCGTGAGTTCCCCTCCTGTCTCATCCCAGTTCATTCATAAGCCCTAAATTAAGAACATCTACTTTAAAGTGACCCTCAGTAACTCTTTCCTCTGCACCTAAAGGATCCCAAATCTAAACCAGTGGAACCCAAAGAATGTCGGGTAGGAAATGTAGTTCCCTGTGCATGGAAACATTCTTTACAAGATCTATTCAAACCAAGCATGTCAGATCTCAGAAAGAAGGGTTTTTATCCCACCTAAAGAAATCCTACTATTAGGCTCTGCAGAGGCACTTTGTGCACGGAGGACTCTGACTCCCCCGGGATTCTGAGGGACCACCGGAGTGATTTACACGACCGGGGGTGGGGGTAGGGGTGGGGGGCGGTATTTTGCAGCTGCTTCTTCCACAAGGGTCAGTGCTGATGAACCAGTTGGAAAGTGGCAGGGGTGGGAAAAGGCGGGGCAAGTCGTGAGGGGCCGGGAGAGGAGGCCCTTGGGTGAGAAGGGCTTGCCGGTACCGCAGTCTCATTAAAAACGCATGTTTTTGAGCAAGAAACCTTTCCATGGCCTCATTTTGCGCTCGCTCCCCAAAGGTTCCTAGTCCAGGGGGCCTCTCCTGAGCCCATGAGGCACTTTCCTTTTCTCGACCGAGGGCCCCTTCCATCTCTTCTAAGTTCTGCTGATTCCACACATGAGTGGTATCATAAGGCATTTTTCTTTCTATCTCTGTCTGGCTTACTTCACTTAGAACGACAATCTCCAGGTCTAGCCACGTTGTTGCAAATGGCATTATTTTATTTTATTTTGTTTTGGTTTTTTTTGGTTTTGTTTTGACGTTGTAAATGGGTCAAGATCTCTTAGAAGCTCCTCTGCATTTGCAAAGTCTTGCCTCGAGATCTTTTGGTCTCTAACTGTTCACAGCAAATGATGACACAACCTTTTAGCAACAGTGAATACAGTATCATGAAAATTCAGAATGAATCTAAAACCTGCAACCTAAATGCATGAAACAGGTACTTTGATGCGGGTGAAAGATGCTGGGCGTGGAACCAAGCTACACATTTCTTGGAAATCACTGTTGCTTGGATACAAAATCACCGCTCTGTTTGGGTATGGAGGGAGCCTCCACTGGTCTCCAGTTACCATCCTCGAGCTGGGTAGCTGAGATGTTTGGAAAAAATGTCATCTACTTTGGATTAGATGCAAATCATGATTTGTAGTTTTATTTTGACTATCCACCCCTCCCCAATCTGCAGCCTAGTGGTGTAATAAACTCAATAAAACTGGGTATTGTTTTTTAACTTGAAATTAAACAGACCCAGTTCTTGCTTCCTCCCTAAACGGGCCGAGGGAAAAAACTGAACTCTTCAGTTTTCAGAGCTGAACTTACTTTCATGGACCTGGCAGCTTTTGGAGTCATTTGAAGATTTTAGGGTATTTCTGCTACTCTGGCATTCCACTGGACTTGTTTTTATTTTCAACGAAGACAAAATTACAGTTAAATGATGTTCGAGCCACCCTCATAAACAGAATGAAAGCTTACTCCTTTCCTGAGGGAAGCGTGTGTTTCATTATCACTTGGAAGTCCTTTCTGTTTAGTTTATATATTTATGGTAATAAAATTGAGTTCTTTTGTCAAGAAAGCATTTCTCGCTGTTTGAGAAGTCTGAAACAGAGCAAATCCTTAGGTAAACAGAAAAGGAGAGCCTGAGCGTGTTATCTGTGGTTTTGTTGGAGACTTTCCAGTGCTTTCAATTTAGGGTCTGTTTCTGAAAAACAGCTTAAATGCTACTATGGTGAAAGAAATGACAGTGACGAATCTTTTACAGGAAAGTGTGTAATTTGTAATCTTTATTCTGCTTACTATTTATAAGAAAAGAGTAGTTTATGTTATTATTATTATTATTTTAGTAGTAGTAGTACCATTTTTACTGATGAAATAAATACTGAAATCGGGGACCTGAGACATTCTTCACTTGGGATCTCCTGCTTTCGGTGACGGTAAGACAATGCGAACAAACCCTCCCACTGAGAGCAAGTGAAAAAGCTGGATGAAATAGGGGAGAAAATCTTTAAAAATTTTGCTGTGAGGATGTTTGCTGATACCGAGAAAGCAGAAGGAAAAACTAAACTGAGGTTTTAGCGGAATCCCAGGGCCGGGTAAACAAAGAGTCAAAGTCCAGAGCCACCCGAGGTGGAAAGTCTGACGCTCCCCCGCGAACCGTGGCAGCTGGGACCCCCGGGGTCCTCAGCCTCAGCCTGAGAGTGAGCCGGACGTAAGGCAGCGTCCCTGCGGACGCCCGGCCCGCGCACTCGTCCTCTGTCTGGATCCCGCAGTCTTGGGCCCCGCGTCACACCTGCTTTGCTGCTTTGCGTGGCTGGGCTGATGGCACTGACCCAGAGACCCGCACGCTGTGCCCGTTCCCACAAGCCCTTCTAATATGTCCTTGTCCAGACCTCCTTGTCTCTGATCTCGCAAACCAGTGCGCCGGGACCTCTGGCCTCGCCAAGCTTGGTTAACGTCCGGGGAGTCCCGTGCCCTCGGTACTCTCCTCTTCCCGCACAAACGTGGTGGGCAGCTGCGCTGCACGCAGCTCCGCCCGCGGGGGGGTCTCTCCTCTTCACTCTGTATCGGGGACACTCCTGAGTAGGGCTGTGGGTTGTAAGGACTCCGTCTTTCAGCTCACGTAGCTGTGAAGTGAGGGAAAGGCGTTCGTGCAGTGGGATGCATGGCAGTGGGGTCTAGACGCCCTGTTCCTGTAATTCGCTTGTGCTTTCCAGACCTGCCCAGGTCCCATCCCAAACGTACGGTTTTCACTGGGTGACAGGTCGCTGCTGAGCCTGACTGATCCTCTGATTTGTTGGCTGCGATGAACCTCTGCTCACGACAGATGTCTCTGGTCATGTCACCTCCTGCTGCTCCACAGCCGGGCCCCAGACCAGCAACCTCAGTGTGCGCTCCCCGGTTCGCCGTCTTCTGGTTTCTGCTCTCCCGTTTTCTCCAGAGCCTACAGTTCTCTTGTGATTAGCATGCTTCTTCCCAGAGGAGGGTCAGCACTTCCCACGTGTGCCTTGCAGAAACGACCTTGGCTATTGGTCTAGAAGCAATGAGGGGAGGTGGGACCAGATTTGAAAAGAACTGATGTCATCTTGCAAGACAGTCATCTCAAGCGAGGCACGTGTGTGCTCTCCAGACACTGAGATTTCTCTCTCCTAACAAGGGGCGTGTAGACCCTCGTGCTTACTCAAGTTAATCAGAGAGACTTAAGGTTCTCCAGGGTATCTACCTGAAGTTCCCCACCCCCAGGCTCAACGTCCCACGCCTTCTCGATCAGAGCCCCGGCTTCCACGTGGGTGACTTCTGTCTCTCCCACATTTACAATAAATACTGGGCCTGATTATTCGGCGCAGCCTGTCTTCCGGGTCAGGGAGATGAGCTCCCCTTCGCACGCTCCGGTGCAGACTTCTGCTTTTATACCAGAACGTGGAGTTGATGGCTGTCATTTTCTTCTTTCAGGGCATCTGTGATCCTTTGCAACTGGCAAGCAGTTCCGCAGGCCTCATCCCCGCGGCCTTTAAGGACACCAGTGCTGGAGCCCCTGTAGGAGCCTGGCTGCTCCTCTTCACCGCTGCCCCACCCAGTGCACCAAAGGTGAGGGCTTCAGTCCCCGGGATGCTGCGTGCCCCGGGATGCTTACCACCTCCACATTTACCTCCGGAAGCGGGGCGCTTGCAGTCTTCTGGTCCATAAGCGAGCCAGTTCCAGAATCTCACCCTGATGTTCTTTTTCCTAAGACCACTTCTGGTGCCCGCTGATTTAGGCTGGCGTAACGGCTAGCTTTTGCTGCGTTATGAATCACCCCAAAACTCAGTGGCTTTAAAAAGTAACATTTTTTAGCCCATGGTTATGTGGGATGGTTCTTTTGGTTGGGGGCTGGGCTACTGTGTGTGTCTGTGGTCAGCAACGAGTCAATCGCAAATTGCTTTGCGGACCTTGGCTAAGCTGTCTCACATATGAGGACGTAAATGGCTTATTCTGGCTCACATGCTAGCTCATCATTCTGCAGACCAGCCTGAGCTGTTTAACACAGCAGAGATGAGACCCCAAGAGAGCAAGCAGAGACACATAACGACCACCCAGAGGAAGGCTGGAAGTCCTGGGGTGTCAGCGCCTCCAGGAGCTGCCCTCAGCCAGTGACAGCTGGGGCAGGTGCATGAATGCCTCCTGTGTGGTGACTGACACAGCCCTGTACAGCCTCCCAGAAGCCTCCGGTGGGACCGAACGCAGTTTCCCAGAGTGAGACCCTTCTCGTGAACACACCCTGCCTAGGCTCCCCTCCCTTCCCTGTCTCTCCCCTCCGCTCCTCTGCTGATGCTCCTTAGAACCACCTCTCAGATTAAGAGCTTACAGTCAATTCCTTGTCTCAAGACCTGTAACAGGTTCAAGTCTCTGAGCCTTGGTCCCTGCCTGCTAGGAGGGCCCACACCTTGTGCCTCAGTGGTGGTGAATCAAGGTTAGATGTGCACTGCAGGGTCAGTCACTTCTTGTAAGTAGGAAATTTAGCTTTGCAAGTTGGGATCTTGGCAAAAGCAATTTCAGTGGAATGGTGGCGACAGAAGCCTGTTTGAAGTGGGAGAAAGGAAATGACCAGAGGGATTTGGCCAACAAATACAGCAGGTCACTCCATTAACCCCGTCCACTGTTGCCTTCCATCTCAAATTCCTCCTGTTTCTTGTTCCAGTTCCTAACTCTCCCCACCATCACCTCAACAAACAGTTCAAATTCCAACAGAAGTGGAAATGCATTCAGTAACCTGATCAATCGATCGGTTGATTGCCTCTGGCTCCTTTTTCTGGTTACTGTGCTTGTTAACCTTCCTCCGCAGCAATCCGAGTGCCCGGGTCTCAGGGCTCACGCTACAAAGGACGCACCAGTCTGTCCTCTAGCGACCTTGCCTGTGTCCCTGCAGGCGGGTGACAGCACAAAAGCAGGCGTGGAAGAGCAGCACGCTCAGTCACCCGGGATCGCAAGCGTGAAACGTGAAATTTGCCGTTACCCCTGTTCTCTGCGAAATGGCTCCCACTGAAAAATGAAAATTTTTGTTTTCTACTTTTTTCCCCCACAATCCATATTGGTTTCCAAATAACCAGGTCGACTGTGTTGGCTTTGGTGGACTTGGCTGCGGCGTTAGCCCAGGTTTATTATTGGCATGTGGGCAGGGGCCCCTCCTGGTCAGTCAGTTTCAGGGGCCAGATTGAAGACGGTGTTGGAATGGCTGACATTTATTCCTGGACGTTATTTTGACTTTCAAGTCCGGTGTTTTCCAATTTCTTTCAGGTTTGAAATGGTTCACTGGTGGGTCCTTGGACGCTAGCTTCTGATTCTGGTGTAGTCACCGGTATTGGCTCTCAGCTCAAGATTCAGCAAAATGCTGCTGTTTAATCTGAGCAGGGTTCATAGCTCAAACCTAAATAGTAGCACTGAAATTGGCTGGCTTGCTTATGTGATAGCCAGAAAGCTTGCTATCGTGTTTATTGCACCCTGCAGATGAATGTTGTTAATTCTTGACTGTCTAGATGTGGATTATAAATGTCATCGAATCTTCCCTTTTTAAATTCTGGGCATAAACTGTATTAGGAAAGCAAGGGTCACATAATTTGAGCTCCTGAATAAGCATAAAGTCTTTCTTGCCCAGTATGTATATTTGGGGGCATTTGTTATGGTTCACGAATAGCTTGAATTTCGCTTGTCTAATCCAAGCACAGGGGAGGTGGCTTGGTGTAGATGGTGGCCACAACCTGGGATTCGAGTCCCGGTCCCCCTGCAAGGGAGCAGCCGTGTGCTCTTGGACAAGCAGTCTTCCTTTCCGAGCAAGCCTCAGTTCGCTCATCGTCCCATGGGGGGAGTATTATTTCCTTCATACTTTTCAGGATTATGTGAAGCGGGGGCAGAAACTGCAGGCACATGATGGAGTTGTTTGACAAAAACATATTGAGTCCGGAATGAACAGGTAGATGCCTTGCAGTTTGTAAAACGATATACACATAAATGGAACTGCATTCACTTTTTAACTGTCTCCGTTCTTCTTTCTCCTCCCGCTTCTTCACCACCTCCTTCTTCATGCTTTGCTAGAGAATAAAGGGTGTTCTTCCAGCAGAGCCTAGGGGTTCCTTCCCTGATGTCTGGCACTGGTGCAGCCCATGGTTAATGCAACTCACTCAGCTGGCCTTCTTAATTGTTTACTTATTCACTCATCCATTAACTCCGCATACATTTCTCAGCACCTTCAGGGTATAGTGTGGCTCTAGGCTGAGAGAGACACCAAGATGTGGCCCACATCCATGAATGGGTTTGTTTTGGAGGCAGATACAGGGAACTTCTTAGCTTTGGTAACGTAGCCCAGCCTGGCTGCTCAGTCTCATCCAGAAAAAGTGAAATAGGAATTCCTTCCCCAGACCCACATGCTCGTGGCAGTAGGAAGTGAGGAGGAGGGAGTAAATGCTCCTGTTTCCATGGAAGCGAACCTGATCAGAAAGGCAAGAGACACGCCTAGCAGCTACCTAGATGGGGAGAATGTGGTTCTCCTGTAGGTCCCTGTTGCTGTGGGGTCAGGACACCAGGCGGCTGGACACCAGGAAGAAATGTCTGAAATTGTTTTGTGCGTAAGACACTGAGATGCGATTGACTGTTTGAAGAAGCACTTGGTTTCACGAGGGGTCAAGGACTTTGATATGCTTTGCAGCTCTCTCCATCCACAAACAGACACAAACCTACAAAATCTATCAGAGGTACTTGAATTCCTGTGGAGCAGGCTGCCTTTAAGGTCGTTGGAGCTGGGTGAGATGGGCAAACGCCAGCGAGACGGGGAGGGCTGGCTTCCTGCTGGTGATGAATCAGCAGCAACCACACGAGAGCTGGCCCAGCGGCGCAGTTCCGAGGGGCCAGGGGCTGCGCTCACCTGCGCATCAGCGTTACCTCTTTTAACCCTCCAAACAGATGTGTGAGGAGCACAAAACTTACGAAGATGAGGAAAATGAGGCCAACAAGCTTACGAAAATTGCCTAAGACCCCATAGTGAATGAGAAGCAGAGCTGAACTCCGGGCCATGTCTATTGGACTCCGAAGTCCGGACATTTAATCACTACATTGCATTACATCCTGCGAGGTCTGGACACTCCAATCATTCCAAAATGGGTTCTTTAAGGTAGCAACATCACCTATTTATCTATGAGTTTTGTTCAGGCTGTCCGTTTGATTGCATCTCTGAACACAGATGCCAGGAGTGTGATAAAGGAATACTGTAGTAAAGGAGTCTGGTTGGGAAACCACCGGTGCCAGGATTCCTTCCCTGAGTCATCTTCTATTGTGCCATCGTCAGGTCAGCATCCAGCTTTCCAAGGTGCAGATCCACTGGGGAAAGAGAATTATTATGGTCCTCTCGTATTGGTAGGCTGTTCAGAGAAAGCAGAAAAATGTTCCTGTTAGAGATGAGTCCATTCACTCATTCGTTCAAGAAATATTTATTGAGGACCAGCAGACTGAAGATCTAGAAATGCAAGACGTGGCCTCCACCAGCAAGGGACTCGTAGAGGGGGCCTGCCAGTCAGTGTCACACGTGGGCTTTAAGCGGGCATGCTCTGGGCACCAACAGCATAACAAAAGGAGCTGGAATTCAGCTGGAATCTAGGAAAAGGGAGGGGTGCCTATCAGGAGGTGCTTCCAAGAGAAGTCAGTGCTTCAGTGGGGTCTTAAGGAACAGGCAGTGGTAAACCAGAGAGGTTCAAGACATGTCTATGGGGCATCCCCTTGAAGACGTCCAATAGGCATCAGTTTTCCAGTTTCAAAATCTTTCAGTCATCTGATGAGCAGAATTGGAATAGGACCACTGCCCAGGTGTGGTGCTTCAGTCCACACGGCTCCTCCTAAGGGCTGAGGTGGGACCTTTACTTCAGGGTCAGATTATTACTGCTTACATTATATTTTCACACCATCATCTCATTTTGTCCCTTTTGAGACAGACATTCTCACCCTCATTTTCTAGGTGAAGATGCTGCATGAACTGCCCACGTTCCCACAGCTCTGATAGGTGGGGCTGTGATTCACATCTCATCTCCCCACTCCAGGGCCTTTTCTCTATACCACGTGGCCTCCCTCCAACTGGAATGCGAGCTTGCCAAGAAGATCCAGCCTCTGAAAAAAGATGCTAAACTGGGTATGTGCGGCTGCTGGGCAGGAGAAGCGGGGACAGGTGGTGGAGGACAAGCTTGGAGGGCCTGGTAAGGAGGCTGGCAGTAACAGGAGAAAGAAGGCAGGGACGAACCCATGGTCTGAGAGGTCAGAGGATCAACCAAAACGTGATAATGGCAAGGCTGTGTAGCTTTAACTCCAATGCTGAAGGTTTGGGTTCATTACTCCTGTTGGCCCACAGGGCAACTGCCCTCTCCCCACCAGCTACGCTGGCTTCTCTTCTGGCCAGTCAGAATGAACCTGAGCTATAAACAGCCGGACTAGCTTTGGTGGGGCAGGGGTACTGGGAGCCTTGCACACAACGCAGCCCCAACACAGCCCGCAACGTGCAGTGTTATGATTGCCTGTTACTTGTCTTTATATCTCAAGCTCTCCAACGCCAACAGTTGGCATGTTGTGGGCAAGTAAATATTAAATTAATTACCAAAAAAGAACACAGACCATGCTGAATTTTATCCCTGGCTAAGACGGAACAGAAAAGTCTGGGTTCATATATTGATTCTGCTTGGTTCAACAAACATGTATTGGCGAATTCTTGACGTTGAAGACTCAGAGGAGTAGACACAGGGTCCCTGACTTCACAGAGCATCACAGGGGTCCTGGATTAGATCATCTATACCAATTGAATAGGTTTACAAACAACTGGTCTTTGGGAGCTGTAATTTTTCTTAAGTGATTGGAAAGTAAGTAAATGCTGTCTTTCATTGAACTAGAACCCACCAAGAGTAGATAAATGTCCTTGTGCGTTCAGCCCAACAAACGCAGTACTGCCAAGCTGAGCACCAGCTAACTCCTAAAAAAGCAGCACACTGAAATTTAAGGCATTCACTGACATTGACTGTGACATTGACTTACAGTATGATTCCTTTAAGGGATATCTTTTTTTAAAGATCCCACAAAAAATTGAAGGAAAAAAGTCTTTAGAAGCCAAAGAACGAAGCTGTGGTGGTGTAATTATAAGCCGTATGCTCAACATTTTAGGTGGGAAATATCCTCTGAAGCCGTTCTGCCAAAGGGGCTGCTCAGGTAAGGCAGCCAGGGACTCTGGCTGCGGAAAATGTTGGAGCAAGATGCGTACTTCCCCTCTTTGTAGCCATAGGTGCATCTCTTTTCTGTGACAGTGCATTCTCTCTGTGGTGGAGTGAGGGCAGCCGTCCCAGGAGCCCCTCCTGGGGACTCCCTTGTACAGGCGGTGGTGCAGGCGTGTCCCAAAGCCGGGTGCAGCATCTGCCTTCTCCCGGAGCCTCGTGAGCTGCCTCCCCCTCAGACTGGCTCCAACTAGATATTTTATGACTATGCTGCGAAGGGAACACTTTGCAAAACTCTTGGAGGTGCCGAGGAGCTGAAAAAAGCTGGTGAAGAAGCTGAGAGGAGCTCCAGGGGCTGCCTGCAGGGATTTGCAGGTCTGTCATAAAGAAAGGGCAGCAGGGTGGGGACAAGGGCTCCCAGGTGGTCAGGTAAGGAGAGGCCTCAGGATCATCCAGTCCGGCTGCCTCATGGGCCAGCGAAGTACCTGCGGTGGAGGGCTTGCCTGAGAGTGATGGTCAAAAATGATAGAAATATTTAGGCTTAATATCCTGCTAAATAGGCTGCTACCCCATGGGACAAAGAGTTCTGATTCATTACCAAATTGTAGACAGGGGCTAAAGGTCACCCATAAAAGGTGTGACGATTAATTTTATGTGTCAACTTGGTAGAGCCTTGTGCCCAGATACTTGGTCAAACCTTATTCTGGGTGTGTCTGTGAGGGCATTTCTGGATGAGATTAACACTTGATTCAGTAGACTGAGTAAAGCCGATTGCTCTCCCCAGTGGGGGTGGGCCACATCCAATCAGTTGAAGGCCTGAATAGAACAAAAGGATTGACCTCCCCCTGAGTAAGAGAGAATTTCTCCTTCCTGACTGCCTTCAAGCTGAGACACCAATCTTCCCCTGCCCTCCAACTGCGGCTCACACTCCCAGCTCTCCTGGTTCTCAGGCACTTGCTCTCAGACTGGAACCAGCCATTGGCTCTTCTAGGTTTCCAGGTCACTGATTACAGATCCAGGACTTCTCAGCTTCTGTAATCCCATTAGCCAATTCCTTATAATAAACATTCCTCTCTGTCTGCCTGCCTGCCTGTCTGTCTGTCTACCTACCTACCTACAGCTACTCCTATTGGTTCTGTTTCTCTGGAGAACCCTGGCTAGTACTGAAGTCTATAGCAGCGCTGTGCAATAGAAATACACTGTGAGATGGGTGTCTAACTTTAAAATTTCTAGAAGCCACATCAAAAATAAGAGAAACAGGTGAAGTTAATTTTAACAATGTCTATGATGAAGTCAATACATCCAAAATAGCATCCTTTCAACATGTAGTCAGTATTCAATCTAAAAACTATTAATGAAACAGTTTATATTCTATGCCTTTAAAATCCAATGTGTGTTTTATACTCAGAGCACATCTCAGTTCAAATGAGCCATGTTGCAAGCACTCAGAAAGCCGCAGCCCTAAACCAGAAGAGAAGTGGGAATGGATGACTAATGTTGTTTCATTCTCCCTGCATAGACTTCTCTCCATTTAGTCAACATGGATTTATTAAGCATCTCTGATATTTAGGCTCCAAACTGAGCTCTTCAGCAGCCAACAGCTAAGCTAGGATTTAAGAATCTCTTAATGATTGGGGCGGGGGCAGGGAGGAGGGTAAAAACCCACACTGGATGGAGCGAGCTGGCATTTATTTATCTCATTTCTTTGTTGTTGATGAGGATAAGGTAATAATCATGAATTTATTCACTAAATGGATGTAGAAATTTGCACTTGACCAAAATTTGCTTCTCCCTCATCTGTGGGGCGCACACAGCATGCCAGGCATTGGGTCTTTTTGAGCCTCACTGACCGTCTTGAATTGGCCCCATTCTGGCTGATCCCAGTCTACACTGTCCATTTCTTGTTCAGAACCCTGAGTGCCAGCTTATACATTGTCATTGAGAAGCAGAGTGACTGGAGAGCTGGTTGTAGCAGCCCTGAAACAGGGAAGTTGGAGGGAAGGCTGGACTGGAGGGCGAGATGAGGAGCTTGATCTTAACAATTGTGTGACTGAAGAGATGTTGAAATTTCCTATTAGAATGATCCAGCACGGAATTGGAAATACAGGCCTGGCATGAAGCATCAGTCCCACGTGCACCTTCCCCGGAGAGAAGCGAAGGCTGAAACCATGCGAGTGAACGAGGAGTCAGAGGGAGAGGGCGGTGAGAGAGAAGTTCAAACGGTCCAGAGCTTAACCCTAGGGACACACACGTTTATGGGGAGAAATAGCCCTCAAGTCCACTCAACACGTCATTATGTGAGTGCTCACTACATGCCAGGTGCTGTGTGAGACATGGGACTGGGGGTGTGAAAGACAGTAACAGCCTCTGTTCTCCTGAAACTTACCGTCTGTACTTGCTGAGAATATCAAAGAGCAGGGCGTGCCGGGGGTGGAAGACAGCCTGACGGCCACCCATCTCAACCTTAATCTTACCCTCTGTGGTAGCACAGCTCCAGCCCACTCCCCCAGGTTGGATAGCGGTCCTTCCCACACTGGGGAGACGCTGAATCGGGAAGTCCTTTGACAGCCCTCGGAGATACGAGGACAGACACCATGCCCCACGCAGTGCAATGCTGCGGAGTCTTGTATCCTCACTATCGGGCTGCTTCCCTCTGAGAGCTCTTTATGTCAACGTCCCTCTTCAAGTGCATGCTCAGAGGAGCTCGCAAATGGCCAAGGAGGAAAGGAAGACGGCGGCCCGGCGCTGAGGGCGAGGTGCGTGCCAGGCGTGCCCTCCGCTAGGAGTTCACAGCCGGTAAACCAGTCATTACCTCGTGAATCAGAGAGGGGAGCCAGGCTCGCTTGTCCTGTATCCCAGACGCGTCTCAGCACGCCCCCAGCCTCCCTCACACGCCTTCCACAATACGCTTACAACTGTCTTTCATCACCCTTACCCACTTCTCTTCTTCCCTGTCCTCAATCTGAGCATTGCTTTGGAGACACGGAAGATGAGGATTTTGCAACTGGTTCATTGTTCCAATCTGTTCATTTCTCATTGTCTTTATCACCTTAGGTACCTTTCTCAGCTTTGTAGCATCCAACAATGTGAACAGCACGCTACCAGCGCACTAGTAGTAGCTGAGAGGCGATGGAGTTTTAACAGGACAGCGTCCCTGTGGAACCCAGTCTAGTGAGTCCCAGGGGCCAGAAGCAGAAACAAGGCTGTGAAGGCCGGGATACATTTTGAGGAAGGAGCGAGGTGGTTACCGATGATGAAGGAGGCAGGGAAGTCAAACTGTAACATTCCTGGGAAGGTCCAAAGAGGACTTTCATCAAGACGGGTGGAGCAGAAGCCAAGAACAGGTAGAGAAGAGTGAAGGTCGCCTGAATGCACCAGAATTCCTTAAATGAGAACCCACCCCATTAACTCTGACTTCTGGCCACACACCAGCATAGGCTTTAGAAGGAAGCTAGTTCTTCAAGTACTTGGAATTCTTTGAAAGAGTTTCTACTAAATCCAAAGGGCTCCTGGATAACGAAGATGGTGTTATTTTTCATCACCAATTTTATTCTTTTTTTAATTTATATTTTTTAATTGAAGTCCAGTCAGTTACAATATGTCAGTTTCTGTCGCACAGCACAATGTCCCAGTCATGCATACACATACATAGATTTGTTTTCATTAAAGGTTATTATAAGATATTGAGTATAGTTCCCTGTGCTAGACAGAAGAAATTCATTTTTTGATCTATTTTTATACACAGCGGTTAACCTTTGCAAATCTCAAACACGCAAAGTTAACCAATTTTGTTCTTGTTACAGGAAAGCCACTTTAAGAAGAAGAGAATGAGACAGAGGGACAAGGTAAACTCCGTTACCTTCATCCTGGGGGTGTTAGGATGGGCTCTGTTCTTTTGTAAAAGAAGAGCAAGTGTTGTCAGAATGTAAATTCTTCTTTGCTTGCTCGCTACCACTCAGCTTACTCACAGTTTCTAACCATGGAGGAAAAGCAGTGAAACAAAAACAGGAAATTTCGCCACACGGCAGAAACCGTCAGTATGGTTGTCCGAGTGAGAAACTGCACGTCCACACAAACTGCATGGCCCGTCCGGCCTCTCCACTTCGTGGAATGAGCGGCCAGAAAAACAGAGCCAACTCTGAGAATAAAGTCACACGTGGATTCTTTCGTATTTGTGGACCTTACATACCACCCCGCAATGACAACAATGAAAGCGAACAGGTGGATTATTAAAATAAGACCACTTTTAACGGGTTAGCACATGGTAGCCTCTGTGTTAAAAATGCTCATGTTTCAGCTCACTGGGTTTTCATAACCTCATGAAGTCCATATTAATATTCTTGTTTTACAGATGAGAAAATCAGGGGCAGAGCTGGAAAGCGACAGAGCCAGGCAGAGGACACCAGAGCCCCAGGTCTTCATCATATGTTCTATTTGTCTGTACCTCACACATCGCACCCTCTAAGCATGGAGAACACACCTCGGTAAGTGTCTGGTGAACAAAGGAAGAGTGAATGTCCTAACAGCAATCCAAGGGGCAGGTGCAGCGGGATGCCGTCCCGTGCTCTTAGAGCGCATTGATCCTGAGCTCTACTGCATCTGGTGCAAGCATGTCTTTCAACTATTGGTACAATTACATGAGCAGTATTAAATGCAACGATGGATTCATTAAATGTATTTTTAAAAAAGCAATTATATTGTAACAGAGTCATAAGCATAAGAGTCTGAAATAGACTGCCTTATTAAATTCTTTTTGTGCATTTCATGGGGGAAAAGAAGAGTCAATGGATGAATGTCAAGAACAGGGAAAAAAATAAACGAGATTATACTGTGTAGCACAGGGGACTATACACAAGATCTTGTGGTAGCTCACAGTGAAAAAGAATGCAACAATGAATACACGTATGTTCATGCATAACTGAAAAATTGTGCTCTACACTGGAAACTGACACAACATTGTAAAATGACTATAACTCAATAAAAAAAAGTAAAAAAAAAAAAAAAGAACAGGGAAGCTGTTGGAAGGAGAATATAGCTTAGAGATAAGTTCTAATAACCACCAGAGCAAACTGTATTGGTGAAAGAATAAATGATCAGTCAAAAACCTAGCAGGTGCATTATTTTGTGAATCAACATAACAGGAACTAAGATGATAATACAAAGGAAACGTGTCCTGTCGCCAGTGACCTTCCATCATTAGACCAAATCCAAGTGTGGGCAGAGGGCCCCAGGGGAGAGCAGCAGTGACGTTTCACCATCAAAGTCAGAGGTGGAACAGTTGAAGCAGTGCTGATTTAGAACGGACCTAACAGAATCTTGAATGAAGCTGGAAAAGTTCTGTCCGTGCCGGCTCCACGTGGTGACCACTAACCGCATGTGGCTGAAATGTGGCTCGTGTGACCAGGGAACTGAACTGTAATTTCACTAACTTTTTAAATTGGAGTCTAGTTGGTCTACAATGTTGTGTTAGTTTCTGGTGTACACCATAGTGACTCAGTTATACACACACACACACACGCACACACACACACACACACATATATATATATATTCTTTTTTGTATTCTTTCTCGTTATAGATGATTGCAAGATCTTGAATATAGTTCCCTGTGCTGTTCAGTAGGACCTTGTTATTTGTTATTTATTTTATATGCAGTACTTTGTATCTGCTAATCCCGAACTCCTAATTTATGCCCCCCACCTTTCCCCCTTTTCAATTAATTTGAATTTACATTATCACATGAGACTAACTGCCACTGTACTGGGCTCTGCAGAGACTGAGAATGCAGCCATCTTCTTCCAGAACCGTGCTGTCCATTAACAACTACCATAACAACAAAGCTTGGTGAATTAATTGAGCACCAAACCTGAACCTGACAGCCGCAGGATCTTCTCATTCCAGCGGAGAGAGGTGGGGCCGTCTGCGCTTGAATGCCCAACCCAAACCTGAGCGGAAAGGGGGAAGCTATTCAAACATCATCTGCAATCTGAAAAAAAGGGAATCAAGACACTGAGCTGGCTTGTTAGAGAGAGGAGGGTCCTGGGAGACAGGTGGGGACACCATCCAGAATTCAGCAGGTAATTGGTCTCACTTCATTGCGAAGGAGCCACGGCCTGAAAAGAGGTGAACTTGCAGATTCAGATCTTAGCCAGAGGGCCAGACCGCGGAGTGAGGAATAGACGCTGTCACTCCCACTGGGTTTGGAGTGAAGGCTGCCAGAAACGCAGTTCGTCAGAGGGAGGCAGAGCGCCTTCTGGCTGCCGTCCCCTCCTCAGGCGCACCCCGCAGCCGTCTCTGGGTGGCCCTGCACGCCTGGGTGGCGTGTCCTGTCTTGTCTTCCGGGGCTGAAGGCAGGCGCGGCCGTGGAATCCGTTTCAGTTACCAGTGAGGCCTCTGCTGTCGCCTCTGGCTCTGGGCTCAGGGCTTCTTTTTCATTCCCTTCCTGTTCTGTCTGTGGAACAGAAGCGTTTCTCTCTGGCCAAGCTCCGAGCTATGTCCTGGACACGGTGGCTGATCTCAACCAAACTCATTTCTTGGGGGAGCCAACAGGCCCGCGTATATACCTGTGTCCCCACGTGTCACCACAGACGCCAATCATGAGAGAACTTGAAGCCGCAGCGCCACTGTCGCAGCATCAGGGGCGGGTCCAGGACCTGAGTGGGCCGCCCAGGGGCTGATCTGTGTGACACTAACTACCTGCAGGCCGTAGAGGCCCTCTGAGGGGGAGGGGGCCCTTGGAGGGGAGAGTTGACTAGCATTTTGGGGGGATGTGTCCATTTCTTCCCCCAAAGTACAGGACGTGGCCGGCTCGAAATGGAAAGGTGTCTGTCTCCTCACGGTGGTTTCGGGCAGCCTAAAACTTGACAGACATGGACCTACAGCTAATTCCGCCGAGAAGGGCATTCTAGGGAACTCTTCAGTGGCACACAGGCAGCTAATTTAGACACTGGAGGAGGCCGGGGGAAGGTGGTACTGAAGGTCTTCCCCAGGACGAAGGCTCAGTCTCCTGCTTCAGGAAAGCCAAGTTTCCAGGAATTACACAAACCCGTTTTACAGATTCAAATCCACGGTATGCCATTCCTGATTTCCAGTTGCAGATTACAGGGCTTAAAGAATTTTGTCAGAAGCAGCCAAAGGCAGATCGCAGTGTCTGTGCTCAGAGTCCTCTGAGATGGCTGAGAGATGCTGTGTGATTTCAGGTGCTGGGCAGGCGTCTTTAGTCAAAATACTCCCCAGGCAGGGGCTGGGATTCCTCTCTGCACCTTGACGCTGCCTAAACGGCGTCAGGAGGGGCCTCTCAGGACCGACTAGCATTCCCCTGGGAGACCGCCTTTCTCTCCCTCCTACGTGACTCAGAACCCACAGAGCCCGACTGAGTGGATGGGCGCCTGCACTTGGGAGGACGGGGAGAGGCAATTTGGGAGGCCGTGGGCCTAGGACCTGGGGGTTACGGGAGATGACGTGGCAGGAGGGGGAAGGCCTCAGGGACAAACTTTCCTTCTCAGGTTTGCCCTTGGCCAGCCCTGCTGTTGAAACACGACTCCTGCCAATGCCCAAGGTCTGGACCGCTGTTTCAGCTGCTTCCACAGGGCTCCATCCTGGTGTCAGACACACATCTCAGCATCACCGGGCATCCTATAATTGAGCCGACTCTCCTCCACGTCACCCCATCTGCTTCTCCTTCTCTGTGCTCATCTCATCATCTGGCCTCGACAAACTCAGGATTGCCTCCCTCTTCCCCTTGTCCTCGCCCCTCCATCACACTAGTCACTCTACCCTCATTGTATCTCCTGAATTTGCCCCCTGCCCCGTTTTCTCTTGTTTGCACTTCTGTTGCTTCTGTCCTACCTCAGACCATCATCAGCTCTTGCCTACACTAAA